AGCTTAGACAGAGGGACGAGTTGCTCATTTCTGAGTTTCTCCCATGTATACATGTTATTAAACTTGGTATTATTTTCTCCTGCTAACCTGTCTTGTTGATTATTTGGCCAGCCATAAGAACCTTAAGGAAAAGGGCAGAGGGAGATTCTCCCTCTTCCCCCGACATGGTCTTCAAGTTTTTCTCCTCCTCCCCTCATAAGGAGTCTTCAGCAGAGGTGGCTGAGGAAGACCTCTGTTGGAGGCCTCAGAGCAAGAGACCTAGGAATGGAGGCTACATGGCTAGGAATGCAAATATGAGGAGAGTATGCCTCGCTAGAGGGGCCAGGCCTGAGTCCTTGACTGCAGCTCCCCTCAGAGACCACAGTGCACTGGCCACACTCCATGTCTGGAAGAGGGAGGGCAGCTTCCCCTGTGAGGCCAGTTAGGTAAAGCCTTTGTAATTATCTATGGTCAGGCCTGAAAAATCACACAGGATGTCTTAGTCCATTTGGGCTGCTATAATAAAATACCATAGACTGGTTGGTTGAAACAACATGCATTTATTTCTCACTGTTCTGCAGGCTGGGAGTTTGAGATCAAGGTGCTGGCAGATTCAGTGTTTCGTGAGGGCCTGCTTCCTGGTTCATGGGTGGCCGTCTTTTCACTGTGTCCTCACAGGGCAGAGAGAGAGTGGGGTCTGATCTCTTCCTCCTTTAATAAGGGCACTAATTTCATCATGGGGCTCCACCCCATGACAACATCTAAACATAATTATCTCTCAGAGGCTGTACCAAATACTGTCACATTGGGGATTAGGGCTTCAAAACATGAATTTTGGGAGACACAAACATTCAGTCCATAGCACACAGGTTTTTAACCAGGAGCTGTATTCCTCAGCTTATGATTAGTAATTCCAATATCTAGAGCCATTGCTCATCTGGTTCTATTATTGGTGTTTCTTATGGTCTCCTTCATGTTGTCACATTTCTGCATTAGCCTAGTTATCTTAGATTTTTAGCTACATATTTTATTTGCAAAATTATTTGTGGAAATAATTTAAGGCCTAAAATATCTTCTTCCAGTGCTTGAGGGAGCACCATCAATCTGGAATCTCCTTAATCTAATCTTGGGGAGTGAGATTTTTGTGGGCCAACAAGAGAGCTCAAAATTGGGTTGCAGTCCTTATGAAGGCTTAATTATTTCTGGTTCACATTTATCCCTGAAATGTAGCTATTCAGGGTCCCAGTCCAAATTCCTGGGAAGAGGACTACCAAAATGCCAGCCTCAGTGGGCTCTTCACTCAAACATGTGTCTCCCTAGATTTGTCCATCTGCCAAAAGGAAATTGGCCTCTCATCGGCCTCCTCTAGATCTGCAAATGACCATAAGGCAAAGGCAGTTACAAAATGTCAGGTGCAACCCTCTGGTTTTCTGTTCTATCTGAGATCTTGGCCTAGCAATTCTTCATTACAGTGTTAGCTCAAAACACCCTCCACCAGATGCTATTATATAAATAAAGAGAGAGAGAATCTTCACTTAACATGATTCCAGTATGCACAATTCAGTTACTATGGTTTAACAGCAGTACCCCAACAACATAATTCAAATTTCAGTCACCACAGTTTTATTAGCTGTGATTGCATGAAGGACCAGGTTTGCTGCTGCCTGTTCAGTCTGCAGTCACTGCATCCACACCAGACACGCATCATGATCAGCGACGGATCTTCTTGCAGAGCCTTGGTATTGCTTTGTGTGTAGCTGTTATTTGGGTCACACACACACATAGCAAAGTGTTTAGTCAGGTCGCCTCCTTGTATCCTCCCAAAAATGGATGATCAAAAGAGGGAATTGCCCAAGAAGGATAAAAGTGCAGCAAAGAAACTAAAAGTGATGATCCTGGAAGTGAACTTGGATGTGATAAGGAGACAGATGAGTGTGGATATGATGACACTGTCACCATGAGAGAGACTGTAGATGCGCTATCAGAGGAACTGAGTGCAGGGAGCTTATCAACATAAAGGAGGACGGAGTAAGGACGTCCTGGGGAAGGGACACTGGTGAAATCTTTTACATTAGTGGAATTCAGAGAGACATTTCATGACATTGAAAGTGTAAATGCTAAAATGTTAGAAGCTGATCTAAACTTAGAAAAAAATATGACAACCCAGCAAGACAGAGAAAAGATATGATGCAAAGAAGGAAGCATTATTCAGACTACTTTTAATAAGATTTTTTCAAAAGAAATTAGACACTTTAATTTTCAATGTTTTTAGAGTATACTAAATAATATTAGCTTTGCTATTTTTAAATTTTTGTATACATTTTTAATTGAAAGTAAGAGAGATTTTAATGTTTTCAACAAAAATTTTGAATGTTGTAAAGCAAATGTAGTTTTCCCATTGATTTTTTCATGCTTTCATGGTCATTTTATGGTCTTGCATTACCCTGCAAAGTGAGGACTGTGCACATGTGTGTGTGTTTGCGTGTGTGTACATCCATGTGAGTAATTGTGTCAATAAATGTTACACTATAACAGCAGTGTATTTGAAATATGTGAATGTTGATGAAGAAATTATCCCATCTATAATTACACAGTGCCTATATCTACCAAAGCTGTCAAAGGTCTCCTTAATATTTGACTCCCCTGGGTAAACATGGTTGTACTAATTATCTGTGGCTGCATAATAACCACCCTAAAATTTAGTGGCTCAGAACTACAACACTTACTATGCTCACAGATTCTGTGGGTCAGGAACAGGGACAGGGTACAGAGGGGATCACGTGCCTCTGCTCCATGATGTCTGGGCCTTGGCAGGAAGACTCAAAGGCTGTGGGCTGGAGTCATGTGAAGCCAAATTCAGTCCCATGTCCGGGGGTCGATTCTGACTGTTGCCTGGGGGGTTTCATTCCCTTTCCCTTCAGCTGCTCCACATGGTCTTTCCTCATGGACAATGCTGGGCTTCTCTGCACAGGAACAGTATTCCACCACAGCAAGCCAACCAAATCTGTATCATGTTTTATGACCTAGCCTCGGAAGCCATATAGCATCATTTAGATTCTCCAATGAGGCAGATTCAAAGGGAGGGAACGTAGATCCCCACCTATCAGGAGGAGGGGGGTTATATTGTAAGAAGTACATGTGGACTGGGATAAATATATTGGTGTGGTCGTCTTTGGAAAATACATTCTGCCACAAGAGTGGATCCTTTATGCACCTTGAACCATTTCCTGGATAAATACTATAATCACTTTGAAGTATATGTTATCAGAACCTCTTTCAAACAATGACTTAAAGTTTGTTAATTTATGACCTCAGGGTCTACTCCCCTCTCCCCTGTTGAATCTTACTAGATACCACATCTCCTGTCTAAGGTGACACACCCCTGCCTTCACTATAGGCCATAAAGCAATTCTTACAGGGAGTCTTTCTTTGTATTTGTGTATAAACAAAAGTTTTTATTTATTAAGGAACATGGGATGGTTTCCAGTTTCTAGCTGGTGAGTATGACCCTTTTTCCTTCTTGCTATACATATATTATTTGCACAAAGCTTTATTTTAAAATCCTGAGTCCATGTCTTATTGTTTTTTAAACTAGTCACTCAATTTTTCAATGTTCATTTGCTTCTAGTTTTTCAGTATGATATACATAAAATGAATATTCCTTTATGTATGCCTTTGACAATAAAAAATCAGGGTCTTTTAATGAGTTTTGCACAAAGTGAATTTTACACATACTGTGTGTGCTTCCACAAAGGAATTAAAATTTGCCTATGAGAAGCAACCCTCTCCTGATCTCCATTCTGGAACAGAAATCTCTGTGGCAGTCTGGTAGCATTCTGTGTCATTGGGTTTCCACCCTGGCTGCACCTCAGAATCACAAATTCCAAGGCCCCATCTCAGGTCAGTTTAATCAGAATGGCTGATTTGAAGTCTCAGGTGTAGGTAATTCTAAAAGGGCCTTCAGGTGATTCTGATGTACAGTCAGAGTTCAGAAGTCCTGTGCCGG